GTAATCCAACGCGTAGTAATCTAACGCGTACTAATACAGCGTGTGGATATCCAACGCGTAGTAATCTAGCGCGTGCATATTCTACGCGTAGTAATCCAACACGTGATAATGCAACACGTGGTAATTCTAAGCATAGGAATCTAATGCGGGGTAATCTAACGCGTAGTAATCCAGCATGTGGATATCCAACGCCTAGTAATCCAACGCGTGAATATTCGACGCGTGGTAGTCCAGCGCGTAATAATCCTCGCGCTGATTGGTCCGCGTTTTTCCTTAATAATTCAAAAATGAAGCTTCACACCCCATTTCTGCAAAGGGAAATCTTATTCAGATTCGCGTCAGCTACCCTCCATTTCAGGGACCTACACTAGTTGTGAGACACCCTGCATATTTTCTTCCACTAAAAGCATGGGAACTATGCAAGCAAACGGAAAATATTGTGTGCGATTAAACTTGTTTTTTCTTAAATTAGTAAATTAGTAAATTAAATTAGTAAACTTTCATATAAACAAGTTCCATACTTATAAATTATTTACAAAAGAGTGTATATATGATTTAGTCCGAACCTCAAATTTTCATTTCACATATTCGAAATCGAATTCAGTCTTTATACCAGAGTTTGATACATACGTACTTGATTATCTCACGCTGAGCTCTATACAAAAAGCTCTAAATAAAAGACCAGTCAGCTGAAAGAGTGTAATATGCACAGATTCAATGGATAAAGTTCGACCTATTTCTTCCATACGATCGCTTAACCAACAGCGTTTTGTGATCGTCAGAAAGCGGATAACTTTTTGAAATCTTGTCGCGCTGCATCGAAACTCGGCTCAGTTAGCATAGAAAAACTCCTACACCCGTTTTACCGTATCATTACCTCTTAATAATCTGCTTCTACATATTCTGCTCAACTCGGGATTCAGTTTCGTTTTACTTCATCACTCTATTCTGCTCGAATAGCACTTTTCAATTCTTTATTTACGATGAACTTAAACATTTTTCGTGATATTTAAACAATAATTTTTGCCCTTTTTATTTTGTTCAAGAGTAAACGTAGATGTCTCAGAATTTTTTTAAATTCAATGTATGATTACATTCATGTTAATTCAAATTTGATGAAATTTGAAAGAATTCAGTACCTTCTCATATCTGTTTACAGACATTTACTTTAACAATTTATACTTAATAACATTTTATTAATACAATTTATATTTAATAAGAAAAGTAACATGTCTTTACAAGTTTCGAAATTCTTAAATTTGTTCGCGTCTATTTAATTATTTATATTTAATGCAACTTTGTTAATATCGTTTATATTTAATAAGGAAATAGAACCTTTGTAACCCATACGTGTAATTCATTATTTTGACAACTATGATTATTCTAGTTCTAATAAATAAAACAATAGTGTCAGTCGTTAACAATCTTAAAATTACAGGGACCCCATAAACCTAGCGGTGCTATCGTTGAAAGAAAATGGAGAATTGACAAAATTGGTGAACCGATGGTGGTACGACAGGACAGAATGCAGACACGGTGATAAACAAGATGCATCCAGAAACGAGTTATCCCTCAGCAACGTTGCGGGAATATTTTATATTCTTATCGGTGGTCTGCTTTTAGCGTTAGCCGTTGCTCTATTGGAATTTTGCTATAAATCACACACTGAAGCTACTAGAGCGAAGGTAATGATATCATTTCTAAACGTCACATAAATTATTACTCTAACAAAGAAGGATACAGTATCACGTTAATTAAAATTTCAAAATTCAAAAGCTTTGAAAATTCCAAATTTCTAAACTTCTACTCCACAATAGCAAAACTCCACAATTCCAAAATTCCACAATTCTACAATTCCACGTTCCCAGAATTCCATAGCTCCGCAATTCCATAACACAGCAGTTCCACAATTCCGTAATTCCACAATTCCAAAATTCCAAAATTCCAAAATTCCAAAATTCCAAAATTCCAAAATTCCAAAATTCCACAATTCCAAAATTCCAAAATTCTAAAATTCCAAAATTCCACAATTTCACTATTCCACGTTTCCAGAATTCCATAGCTCTGCAATTCCACAATTCCAAAATTCTAAAATTCCAGAATTCCAAAATTCCACAATTTCACATTTCCAGAATTCCATAGCTCCGCAATTCCACAATTTCACAATTCCATAACACAGCAGTTCCACAATTCCACAATTCCGTAATTCCAAAATTCCAAAATTCCAAAATTCCAAAATTCCAAAATTCAAAAATTCCAAAATTCTAAAATTCCAAAATTCCAAAATTCCAAAGTTCCACAATTCCACAATTCCAAAATTCCAAAGTTCCACAATTCCACAATTCCACAATTCCACAATTCCACAATTCCAAAATTCTAAAATTCCACAATTCCACAATTCCACGTTTCCAGAATTCCATAGCTCCGCAATTCCACAATTTCACAATTCCATGACACAGCAGTTCCACAATTCCGCAATGCCACAATTCTGAAATTCCACAATTCCACAACTCCACAACTCCAAAATTCCCAAATTCTCAAATTCTCAAATTCTCAAATTCTCCAATTCCGAAAATTCCAAGATCCCAAAATTCCAAACCTCCAACAATACAGAATCCTGTAACTCTACAATTCCAACATTCCAAAATTCCTGAACTCATATGAAAAATAGGGAGGACGCAGATTAAGCATGTTATATAATTTAAATCGAAAAAAATACAGGATACATTAGCAATGATCGTATTTTTCAGATTCCATTATCGGATGCGATGAAAGCGAAAGCCCGATTAACGATCGGTGGTGGTCGAGATTTCGACAATGGCCGGGTAAGTGACGCGACGAACCATTACCACCCTTAGATTTCTCGTATCGACAATTAGAATTAATCAGAGTACATAAAAATTGAGTTGGGAAGAGATTAGGGGGCACGAAACGAAACACTTCACAGATGTATATGTACATATTTCTTAAAATTCTGACTGTAACAAAGAATATCCTCTTATAAAGACATTAAAAAGAATTACATAGATAATCCAATTTTTATGAGACATTACTTAAATTGTTATTGTACTCTATATAATAGTAGTAAATAATTGCTTTCAAATTTAATAGAACGTAACAGAGCTGTAAATAATGTTACTGTAACCTAATAGCAAATAAATATTTTCATTGTAAGCTAAAATCAAATAAAATGCTCCCCATTGTAACCTTAATACTAAACAAGTGTTTTTACTATAATATAACAATAAGAAGATACTTTTATTTTAAAGAACAGTTGAACAAATCCTCCATTATGACCTAAATAGTAAATAAATATTTGTCCCATTAATATGCGACTAAATAAATTTTCTCATAATTCTTGAAAATCATATTGAGAATCATAGATTATTCATAATTTTAGAATAAATGAGTTTTGTATTAGTGTATTTATATTGAAAGAAGTGTTTCTTGATTTGCCCCGATCTCCAACCAACAATATCGATGTATCGTGTAACATATGCTCGTAACGAGGTGCATTATGCACACTCGTGCAATACAACGACCAATACATACATACGTATACGTAGATACATTACAATAGAGTACGTTTGGCATGCAGTTAGCAGCGTGTAAGTAAGTGTGCTGGAAAGGCGATCGATTAGCGGGAATTTCGAACGGTTTATGGAATTCTCGAGAACGGAGTTGGGTATCGACAAATGATCGAGCACTGTAATTCTATTCCAATCATTTCCAGACACAAGTTACGAATATTTTGTTTGAATAATTCTTAAATAAAATGAGTGAATACTTTATTGTAAATGAGTAAAATCATTTATGTACAGGTAATATGATGATGAATGCTTTAGTTGAGTAATCTGCGAATAAAAATTGCGAATAGCAGATAACATTTTGATTAAATAAATTTTTTATAACAATTGTAGAATATAGCTGGATTATGTAACTACAGATATTATGTGTTTTATAGATTCTAATTTCCAAGTTTGTAATATTTTTAAATTGCTTTAGCAAGTTTTCTTTGACACGTTAGATTAACACTCAAGTTTTTCAATCTTCATATTTTCAAATTTTTGAATTTCTAAATTAGTTAAGTTCTCAAATTTTTAATTCTAAATTTGCCAAATTTCCAGGTTTCAAATTCTAAATTTGCTAATTTCTCAATTCCCAAATTCCAAATTTACCAAAATCTCAAATCCCAAATTTCAAATTTAATAAAATCTAAAACTTCAGATTCTACACTTGCCGAATTCTAAAATCCCAAATTCCAAGCTTACTAAATTCCTAAACCCCAATTTCTAAATTTGCCAAATTCTCAACCCCCAAATTCTAAATTTTCCAATTTCTCAATTTCCAAATTTCAAATTTAGCAAAACCTTAAACCCCAAATTCCACACTTGCCAAATTCTTAAATCCCAAATTCCAAGCTTACTAAATTCTCAAACCCCAATTTCTAAATTTGCCAAATCCTCAACCCCCAAATTCTAAATTTTCCAATTTCTGAATTTCCAAATTCCAAATTTAGCAAAACCACAAACCCCAAATTCCACACTTGCCAAATTCTTAAATCCCAAATTCCAAGCTTACTAAATTCTCAAACCCCAATTTCTAAATTTGCCAAATTCTAAATTTTCCAATTTCTCAATTTCCAAGTTCCAAATTTAGCAAAACCTCAAACCCCAAATTCCACACTTGCCAAATTCTTAAATCCCAAATTCCAAGCTTACTAAATTCTCAAACCCCAATTTCTAAATTTGCCAAATCCTCAACCCCCAAATTCTAAATTTTCCAATTTCTCAATTTCCAAATTCCAAATTTACCAAAACCTCAAACCCCAAATTCCACACTTGCCAAATTCTTAAATCCCAAATTCCAAGCTTACTAAATTCCCAAATCCCAGATCCTACATTTGCCAAATTCTACTACCCTAAATTCTAAACATGTGAAATTCTCAAACCCCAATTTCTAAATCTTCCAAACCTTCATTTTCCAAATTCCAAATTTTCCAATTCCCCAATTCCCAAATTCCAAACTAACCAAAATCTCAATTTCCTAATTCCTCAAATCTCCAAATTCTACCTTTCCGCAGACCCCAATCCAAATTTCCAATTTGTCCATCAAACCACTACCCAAAAGTTAACCTCCCTAAATAAACATCCCCTATTCTCCAATAATCGCAACTAACGTGCAATTTTCATTTCCCTATTACTCAACCCAAAAAAAGAGTCTCATTATTCTCATAACAAAATGCCCACCTCCGTTCAGAGGTAGACACGATCGACCCAAGGGCGATTATCGATCGTGACCGATGCTTCGTGTATACCTAGTCTATAAACGAATATAGATATACATATATTATATACATTATATATAGATAGATATTATTATATACATATTATATATACATATACGTACATGCGTGCGATGTGCGGCTGGCTGGATGTGTTGCGCTCTTTTCTACTTCTATCTATCCATCCTCATCTTTATCTTTTCTCTCTGTTTGTATAATCGATGGATGCAGAAGACGTAATTTGCTCGTTTTGCGCGTTTCGTTCTACTTTTGTTTTTGTCTCTAGTGGTACGGACTGCAGAGTTAGACGGAGGATGCATGCGCCTTTCCCGGGACCATAAGTGAGTACTATAGCCTTTAATTTTAAATCCCGATCGTTCTACGTATCGTTTAGTGTGCCCTTTTTTCTGCCCTTGCTATTTACATATCTTTCGTTTAGGTAACTCAACTATTAGGTTGTTGAATAGGAATGGTCGATTTGGAGAATCTCGTTATATTGCCGAATAATTTTTAGAGTGATATTTTGTACTAAATTGTTACTTGGTACGTTATTTAATTAATTGGTACGTTAATACTGTCAACTTATTTATGAATTATTATTGGTAACTAATTTATAAATTAGTGTCTGGAAATTTATAAATTAATATTGTCAACTAATTTATAAATTATTATTGTCTAAAAATGTATAAATTAATATTGTCAACTAACTTATAGGTTAAGTCATTGATGCTAACTAATGTGTGACAATTTGAAATTTTCAGTGTATGGCACTAGAAATTCATTTTTAAACTAATGAAGGCTTCAGAATTACATTTAAAAATGCATTATAAATTGTATATTTAATTGACTTTGAATTATACATTTTTGGATGCATTTACATATGTACATTTTCTAATGAATTTAAAAATATGCATTTATTGAAAAATTCAAAAATGTACATTTTGTAAGAAATTTAGAAACTTGTACTTCTTCAAATATTTCAAGGTTACGTTTCTTAATAATTTAACACAACAATAATTTAAAAATATAATAAAATAATAATGAGAAAATATAAGTTTGGAAATATACTACTTTATAAAACAAAAGTAATTCAAAATAAAGAAATGGTTTCATATTTGAAAAATTGATTTAAAAATTCTGCTTCGACTCACATATTATTTCATAAATAATAAACAAATTAATAATATTTATGAATATATTATCACATGTTTAATTCTTCTAAAAATTGATCATTTCACACACAACAGCCTTCTAGTTCCATCGCCATTAAAAACAAGAATTTTTCAATATTTTCAGATCATTATCAAATTTCTCAGTGTCGTTCATTTTCCATCACATCGTCATGTACATATTTTTGCATTTTGGTCGTGCACATAATGAAATATAAAAACGATTTTTATAAGTTAGGTTATGTATCACTGACTTAAAAATTATTTTGTACGTTCTATTTTATATTTGGTACGTTCTATTATACGTATAATTCATATTTTTCGTAATAATTTCCTGTAATAAAGGAGGGATGATCACAATTGAAGTTTATTTCTGAATCGTGTTCAATTTCATCCAAACATCGATTAAAGTCCTTCTACCTCCTGCTTTCGATCCATGATCTTTTGTTTACCTTTACCTTGTTTATGACAGCTTTGTATATAATGAAAATGGCTTAAAGTCGCAAGAGAAGCATGGCTTGAGGTTATTTAGATGAGAAATGATTTGTAGAATCGCATGTCGCTTTTGAACAACTGTTATGCTTATGTATTAGACCACATTTACACCGCTACTTAAAATACGAAAAACTCGAGACACCTGTACAATGATGAAACTAATATTTCCAAATTTTCAGATTCGTATCTTACGGCGAATAAATTATTGGAATGATGTGATTTGTGTTAATACATTTTGTTTTAAGGAGGCTGGAAAATTCCGTGCTACCAACTGAAGATTCTTGAGAATTATTTCAGAAGTACCGGAAGTTTGAAAATTTGTGATACTACATTGGTTTCGATACACTAGAATTTTGAGGATTTCAGAGAATTTTGTTTGAAAGAAATTTAGAAAGACAAAGAAATTTCAATGAATTCTGAAAAAGAAAAGTTTAAAAAATACAAAAAAATTTTGAAGAAAAAGACAACATTCTTTAAATAGTAAAATTCATTATTGAAAATTTAAAATTAAGATTTATTAATTTTGACAAATTAAGAATTAATTTGTTGTTGCGATTGAAATTTGTGGAATCTTGAAGCTCTGAAATCTTCAGAATTGTCAGAATCATTCAGATATTAGTAGAGAGTTAACGATTTTAATTTGCTATGCTTCCACAACTAAATCAATCTTAAGGCTGCAATTTTATATCTAATTGTTGCAATTTTATTAAGGAAAAATGGCTTATTACACTTGTTGAGTTACTCTTCACAACTGTGGTTTTAAGGTATCGATTTCAATTTTCTTGGCAGACGAAATTCTTCTATGGAATGCAAATGGTGCTGATTCGCTTTTAAAAGACAGAACCTTCATTTCCGAAATGTATGATATAGAGGAAAGTTACTCGATATAGGGATTTTTTAGTGGAGGAATATTTCCAAATTTTGCATTCACTGTCTTTTAATAAATATCTTACCATTCGGGTGTCTCACTAGTGTAGGTCCCTGAAAAGAAGGGTAGCTGACACGATTCTGAACAAGATTTCCCTTGCAATGGGGTTTGAAGCTTCGTTTTTGAATTATTAAGGAAAAGCACGGACCAATCAGAGCGCGAGGATTATTACGCGTTGGACTACTACGCGCCGAATATCCACGTGTTGGATTACTACGCGTAGGATATCCACATGCTGGATTACTACGCGTTAGATTACCACGCATTAGATTCCTACGTTAAGAATTACCACGCGTTGCATTATTACGCGTTAGATTACTACGCGTAGAATATGCACGCGCTAGATTACTACGCGTTGGATATCCACACGCTGTATTAGTACGCGTTGGATTACTACGCATTGGATTACTACGCGTAGGATTACCACGCGTT